AACAAGAGGGAAAAGTACATTCTAGCAGGTCTTGTGGAGGATAAGCCTCTGCTCATGTGATCCTTGGGCCTGGTTTTAAAAAGCAGAGTCATGAAGTAACAATAACAAAATGAAAAAAGGTTGGGCAGGACGCAAGAGCAGGGCATTGCTTTATGTGAAATGCGTGCAGGCGATGCACCACTGCTTGCTTAGCGTTCTGGCTAACCCATTGGCTCTGTTGAACCCCGTTTCCTCAAGCAGTCAAAGATTCATATCTGCAGAGGAGGGAGGACTGGAACCCACTGTAAATCGCAAACAGGACTCCACAAGAGAATTGTGTAAAAATCACGAGCCTGAATGTGTTGAAGGAAGCTAACCATGGAATATTTAGTTTTATATTTTCCTCTTAAGAGCCTGTTAAGTGCAACGCAGTGTAAACATCATCCATTTTGCAACAAGTGAGCAGAAGTGGGAAGCGCAGCCAGGTTTGCTCGTCCTGTGCCACTTGCGCACTGTGGGGCTTGGAGCTCGCCAGGCAGGGCTGGGAGATCTTCAGGCAAGTACAAAACCCATCCAGATATTTTTCTCTCGTAAGAGACAATGCGCTACAAAGCTCTGAGGCTATGGCAGAGCTTTAGGAAGGAATACGATTTATTTACCACACGCTTGAAAGCAAGCAAGCTCTACAAGAGACACTTGTTATGAATTAGCATGATCTCTCAGGGGATAGTTCTGTTGATAACATGAAGAATGTATTGAGTATCAGAGATTAAAACAATCTGCTTCTGCCAGCTCCAAAACACAAAGACCATTACTGTCATACATAGAAATAAAGCCAGAATATTGGAACAAAAAATTGGGAAAAAAAAAAATTACCCCCATGCTAGTCTTGCTTATCAGCTGCCTTTTTTTTTTTTTTTGGGGGGGGTGTTGGGAAAAAGTCTCTAGATTGTTCACTTCAACATAATGCAATCAGCTAAACAATGTTGAAGAAGAAGCACTAAGCTTTTGTCTATTCATTCACACCATTTTGTTATCTTTCCTGTTTATCTTAGAGGCACACACAGGACCAGAATGAAGGTTAGTCTTTACAATATGACAAATCTACTGGTTTCCTATTTTAGAAGGTAAACAAGCCTTTTTGTGAAACTGAAACGCAGATAACAAAGCTGTGCAACGTTAAACGCGACATTAGATTGATCATGAGATTCCTGGACATGGTGGTGCATCCCCTGGGTGCAGGTCTGTTGGCCAAGTGCAAACACTGATACATTGCAGTTCAAACCATCAGCTTTGTCAAATCGCGCATTTTGTACCATTCTTGCAGTGCACGACAATTCTGCAGCTGCAAATTATGTACACATTAAAATTAATTAACAGGGAGTATAAAATGATCAATTTAACATAAATTGTGAGATTAAGTTTTGGCCATAGATCTGCTTCATGGGATCTTAACAGCAGAAAACTTCAGACATTTTTTTGTGTGTTTTTTTTTTATCTTAAGTGAAAGGAAGATTTTTACAGCTGAGCTTTTTGTAACGTCTTATAAAAGTGGATTCTGAAATGTTTTTACCCAGCAGAGAGCTAAAAGCAGGGAACTGTTTTAACAGGAAACATATCACGCAGAACAGGCCACTCGTACAAGTTTCCCTGGATCTCTGGCACCACCTATAGATGACACAAAATACTTCGTGCTCATGAACCCCTGCATGCAGAGTTCATTTAATACCAACGACTATAAGAAAATTAATATTACTTTTCGCCTGCCAAATTGTGGTACATTTGCACTTACAAGTTTGCAGGCTTGATGCAATTTTCTATACCTGAAGGCCTGCCTACCTTACCCACCAGTACCAGCAGTTAGTCTAACTGCATCCAAACTTTTATCTTAAGGATACCACTGTCACGTACAGCCACCAGCTCTAAACCCAGAGCAGTTACATGTCCACCAGCTCCTATCCTGTGTCCCAGGCAGAAGTTTCTTGTCCAGCTGGAGCACTTGGAAAGCTCCATCACTAGAATCTCTGACACGCAAGCCCCTCAATGGGTATACCTAAACTCTTTACGCATGTGTCTTGTGGAAATTAGAAAATAATTATCCTCGAGATTGTCAGCCTTCAAAAATCAACCAGCAGGAAATATTGGGAAGATGGCGTGTGCACAAGCAGATACAGCGGCAGACTTACCAGTGACAAAACCAAGTATGTGAGGGCAGACCAATTTAGGTTCTTCTGTCTTAAAGGGAAAATACATAACTGGTATTAAAATCTAGATCACCAATAGACTAGTTAAACCTACTCAAAGATCTAGCACAGGTTTTGAAAGCTGAAAGTATAATTTGCTATTACCTTTCGTGTCACTCAGTATTTACAATTTGGTAAAGGAAAAAATTCAAACGCAACTCATCTCTCATTTGATCTTCGTTGTAGTTTCCCATCTCCTTTGCTATGCTGGTGTAACTGGTTGTGGAGCAGTGCTGTACGCTGGACCACTGAGATGACCTGAAGGATCCTCCCCTTCCTCTGCACGTCTAAATAGAGTTGAACCTCAACTGCACCGAACTTCCCCAGGCTTGCTCCCCTGCAGCTCAGTTGTCCGCCAGCACATGCCACAGCCTGGGCAGCTCAGCCCCACCGTGCACTTGTGCTCCTGGGGAAGCATCTCCTCCTCTGCAACGCTAGTGCTGCACAGGGTCCACAATCGCTGTAAGCTGGGGGAAAAATGTATTTACTGTTCCAGGACTGAAAGTGCCCCATCTATCAGGGACCACGTATAATTAGATCAAGCACTTACCTGTGATACCTTGTATCTTCCCAGTGCTTTACAAGTAGTCTCAACACAGCTGAAATGTAACGATGGGATCTGTGCTATAGGCACAATGACTGGAGAGCCACAAAACAGCAACGCCAGAGTTAAAATTCAAAGTATCTAGGCTTTCAACTTACTGTTCTCAATGAATGTTCTGCAGTGATCTAATGTAGTAAAAACTTCCAGCCTACTTCTAATTTGTATAAAAATAGGTTTGTTTGATGACTTGGAACTGGATCTTGTCAGCTCCTTAAATCACCTATCTGTAGGGACGAGATAATTAACAGGTGACAAACCTCTATCACCAGAAAAGAACAAGTGTAGGAAATAATAAACCCTGAACTACAACTGTCAGTGAACTTAGAACTTTTGCTTCATATTTCAACGCAGCAGAGGAGTAGGAAACAAGTCTTTAATAATGCTTTTAATTCAGCATTTATGGAGCTTCACCCTCTAACTGGAGTGTGGTCTTTTCTGATATCCACAAGTGTCAGACACGCTGTCAGGCAGTTCAAATCAAAACCCAGATTTTAAAACCAAGATTACTTGGAAGGGTTTTTTCTTTTAAAAGAACATTGATTTAGAATCAAACATCAGGAAGGCAGAAGATACATGGATCTGCAAAAATACTATTTTCCCATAAATAATGAAGATAGCAATATGGGAGCATTGAAATTTAAACAACCTTCATTTCAACAAAAAACAAGTCACATTTCCAAGAATCACCTGTATGACTCCACTTGTGAGTTCTGATGGCATTTTCCTACTCATCACTGTAAAGCAGGAAGACTTACGCTGTAGATAGAGTATGTATCACACAGAGGGAAGGAGCAGGGAGCACCTCCAGGTACACAAAATAAAACGTAAAAACTTCAAACATGAGGCCTGTTCAGAAAGTGGCCCTAATTATGTAAGTTTTTCAAGCATGTTTCTAGCACATAAAGCAATCATTCTATGTCTCCCACTAGCAAATACTGTAAAATTTAACTTGACTCTGATTCCCCAAGAGGGAATCTCTGAGCTAGTTTTGGTAACGATCTCTTTTCAGTCTTCATGTATGTTAACAATTGTCCTTGAGACGCTGCCTGGCTGCGAAATGATCTGATTTTTGCAGATCCAGGCACCTAGAGAGCTGTGTACTTTCCCAAGCTGAGAGTCTGTTTTTTAACTAGATAGCTCGATAGTGAAGATATTATTAGCTACCACTACGAGAATGCTCACCAGATTGGGCTATAATATTGCATAGCTCAAAATACAGCCTAGAATTCATTCGTTACAGAAATGCACATCATATAATGGTAAATTACTATTTTGTTGTGATCCAATCTGAATTTATGCTAGAGTTTCAGACCTTGGAATCTTTATTTCAAATGAAGTGAATTCTATCTTTCCTTTCTCCTCTTTAACCTGAAAAGAACAGAGCCAAAATGTAATGCACTTTTACCACCCATGCAACTACAAAAACGTAGCATCAAAATAAAAACAAAATTTAAGTAATGTTTGTAAAAAATATATTTACAGTTGTTTTGTTCTTTAAGACACAGAGATCACTGTGCCATATACATAATTTGCAATAGTGTTCTTGCTAACAAAGTTAGTTATTACTGATGGACGGACAAAATTCTTTTGTTTTCCAAAAAAGATCACCTAATCTTCTGAGCAGGCATTTCCAGATTAAGAGCCAGGTGCTAGCAACTTCTACAGATATCAAGGAACAGTCCCCTTAAACTTTACTAGAGCTGCATTAGACCCAGCAGTAGACATTCCTGACTGATCAACAACCAGCCAGGTGCAGTTAATGCATACATAGCATGTAACTGAAACAGACTTCATTAAAAATGTACTTTGGAATGGCTTGGAGTATTACATTTTTGTGTGTGCATGAAAGAACGAGTCTGCTGTGAAGGTAATACATCGTCAGGGATAATACATCATAAGGTAAGGCTTTCTTATTTCAGCCAACACAATACAAGAACCATATTCCGGGAAGCTTACTGCTTGGTGAGATTGTCAACAGTTGCTTCGATGCTCAGATGTTACAAAAACACAGCCTCTGATTTCAATAGAGGCACATACATACACACATCCTCGTTCTCACATACGAGATGTGTGTATCCATGTACAGACAAGTAACACATGGAAGGGCACGGTATTTGGCTTTGTAGGACAAATCCTACATTCTCTTATGTTCCATGTATTTCTGCTGAATTCAGCACTGCCTCTGAGATTGCAATTTGTTTAGTAATAGTACTTTGTGCCTAATCTGGTATGGAGTCTGCTGGACACAGCAAAGCTGTGTGGGCTCCACTTTGAATGATAGAATAGGTCTGCTTAGGGGCTTCTGTGTGAGAGGATGAGGAAAAGATAGGAGGAGGGGGAGCTGAAGTGGACACTGTTATACTTTGACCTCCGTCACTAACCACAGTCACTTCTGTTGCTCCTTCTTGTATTAAAGCATTAAGACCTTCTAAGTCAGAGCAGCTGATTCCAGAGCTGGTGATGAAAGCTTGGTTTGCTGAAGCCTCATGACTGCTGACAGGAGCAGCGGGAATCAGAGTTTGATGTAAAGCGCTTCCATCGCTTTGATCGTGGGTCGTGAGAAGAACTGCTGGTTGTGCCACAGGCCCTGCTTCACTTTGAGATATGGGAGGTGGAGGTGGTGCCAACAAACTCACTTGGCCCAGCAGCTGCAAGCGGCTGTTGGCTGAGAGATCTTCCTGATTCTGGCTAACTAATGTAGGAGGCACGACATTCACTGATGCAGCCTGAACAATACTGTTAGTCTGAGGGACCTGGTGACCCACGATGATCTTGACCCTTCCCTCATTGTATGGAGAAACCTGAGCAGCCTGAAGCGGGACCTGGAGGTGACTGACAGTAATTGGGGCACTGGCCTGCCGGCTGGGATCCATCTGGAGCTGTAGAACAGCCAGTTCGCTATTTTTACATCCATTATACATACTGTGCTGCTTCTTATGACTCCTGAGAGAATCTTCTCGGACAAAGGAAGCGTCACATAGGTCACACTTAAATGCTTTCCTGGCATCCAATCTGGCAACTTGCCTGGAGCCACCTTGCTTTGGCCTATCTCCTTCCTTCTCCACCGTTTGCTTCTTGCTCTTGACTTTGTCACCATGAGCTTTCCTCACATGAGTTGTCAGGTTGCTCCGCTGCTTGGTATCAAAGCTGCAGAATTCACATTTGAAAGGACGATCTTTGCAGTGGATGCGCTCGTGCACTTTCAGAGCTGCCTTGTTGGAGCAAGAGTAGTTGCACTCTGAGCACTTCACTGGTTGCTCGGGCTGATGAGTTCTTATGTGGTGCCGAAGGCTTGTTTTGTTTCCACACTGAAATTCACACTCTGGACACTTGAGAGTATTTTCCATGCTGTGCTTGATACGAATGTGTGATTTCAAGTTTCCTTTCATGGCGCAGCGGACCTCACAGAACTCACATTTGTAAGGCTTCTCACCAGAATGCACACGCATGTGCCTCTTCAAGTCTGAGTTGATTTTAAATTTAGCAGGACACATCTGACATTGGAAAGGCGCATCACCTGTCAGCAAAAAACATAGTTCAAATCACAGATGAGACACCAAGATCCATTGGAGAGACCAATGCTACAATGAATTATGTACAGCTCGCTTGTTCTAAATACTCATAAGCTCCAAACATGTTCTCAAGATGTGAAGAACTTTAACAGCACAGTATTTATCATGAGGTCCAACGTATTTGTGTGCAAGCTCTCCAGGAGCACGCCTGCCCTGCCCACATCTGTTGTTTTTTCATGTCTGCATCTTAGATATCCTCCATTTTCAGTTCATTTTGTGTGTAAAACTGTTCAGAGTGCTCCAGAGAAGTGACTGAAGTTTCTCATTTGTCTCTCTTTAGCAACAGTATCTCAACCAGTTTAATAAACACTAACTTTAACAACTGCTATGTTTTTGAAGTCTAAGAAAACAACATAAACAAATCCATGTCTTGGGCTTACACTACAAGATTTACAGGGAGGCTGGTAGGTTAACTGTAAGCCTAGGTAAACGGTAGGCTACTGTGGAAACAGACCTTAACAGCCACCAGTCTTACTGCTCAACCATATAGTCACGTTAGATTAGCTGACAAGAAAAACTGATTACTTTTTTGGCCTCGTTCATGTGATGTAGCACAAAGACTACTGCTGACACAGGAAGATAGTGGAAACTCTTGTCCAGAACATAAGGAGATGTAGGGATAAAAGTCCATACACAGGTCAGTGTCAGGTGACTGCACAACCATAGCATCACTACAGTTACAGAGAAAAAAAAAAAAAGAGGGATCACAGCTACATAAACGCAACTGGAAAGACAAATGTGGGACTAATGAATCATGTATGCAAGTCTGTGACTCTGGGGAAATGTGTTTACACAGAGAAGTAATATTAAGCTTTTGTTTTTCCAGAATTACAGAAAACAGGAAATATATTTGCCCCATGTAGCACGCCTAATAATGTTCCACAGATCACTTCAAGAAAATCCACTACCAGTTTGCATGCATGCAAACAGGTACACAACATATTCATAAGTGCTTGGGTGTTTTTTTTTTTGGATAGCAACACTGATCCAGAAATCTAACAAGGTAGTTGAAAGTTAGGTCACATTCTTAACTGATAAGTGTGTTCATTTTTCATGCTTTATCTGCAAGATCTCTGTGAGCCTATTCGTGTCAGACTACCTACAGGAATAACCATTTGAATTGCCTGGATCTAAACTACTATTTTGCATTTTCTTTATTTGCAGGCTTCTGTCACAACATGCATGACCAAACTAAGCTGTAGCTCTGTTTAGTCCATAGTCAATTCCAGGGTAAAGACAAGTGACTCCATTCTGAAGTCATTAAGAAAAATCCAAAGCAAACCTGCCAACCCGACTAAATAACTGCTCACTTTTTTCTTTAATCTAAATATGCAGTTTTCTAAAGTACCTGAGCATGAAGTCTTTAGGTAGGTGTTATTTTGAAAAAAGGGGAAGAATTTTATCACTAGGTTCTAAGACACTCTTGGTGGTGGAAGGAAAAAGAGTGTACTTAGTTCAGCAATCATTTATCACGTTCAATAATCAAACTGCAAACAGCTGATCTATTTTATGAGTTAATATTTTATAGAGTTTGTGATAGCTGTATAATTTTGCATAATTTGCTTATCCAGCTACATATGTCATAGGTTTAGCTGCATATTCTTCAAATCAAGTTGTGGCCTACTGTGCTAATCCATGTATCTGTTTAATAATTGAGATACATGGTGTACTATCTGTATTAAACAGATTTTATTAATGAAGATGCACTGTTTGTTCATCTAGTTTATTTTACAGTTTCATCTACACACTGCTACTGAATTTTTATCTACTTTGCTGATGAAGGCAGACTATGTATTTAAATGACTTAATTTTCACATACTGGGTAGCACAATATATGAAAAAGAATTAGTAATTTTACTGAATATAGCAAAGTATGTTGGTTCCATTTATTTAAAGAGTGGTCCATTACTTATATTTCTTTACATTTCTGTCTATATTTAATCGACACTGACAGAATACAGCTTAAAAACAAAGTGTCTGGTCCTGGAATTATTAGTTGTAAGAGTAGTTTTACTCAAATTAACAGGAAACTGATCTTTTGATGACTAGTTCAACAAGTAATGCTATACAGATGATCTCACGCTGAGTAATGTACGTTACACTCACTTTCTAGAGAATGACTAATTTAATTCCAGTAAGCAATACATTCTGCATACCAGTCTTACTTTTCCCCTCAAATTGGCTGTGTGCATAACAGCTCTGTAACCTAACAAGGATGAAATGATTACTTTCAAAATTCTTATGTCTCCTTTCAGCAAATCTAAAGAAGTCCTTTCACAAAAGAGGATTTATTTTTGAGAAATGAAAGAGATAATAAAACTACAGACTTGAATTTCAGCAGCATTCAATTGCTTAAGATACAGACTGATCTGCCAAAAAGAAGGAAGGTATCCTTCCCAACCACTGCAATATCTAAAGCCACAAAAATTTAACTCTGCTGGAAACACAAGAGAACCATGATCATTCAAAGCTTCTCCCACAGTCAAATTCAGAGCACACCTGTCCACTGCATAAATGCACAAGTATTCATGCTCTTGTATGACATGGGGAAAACACGATACCATATTCTCTGACTAGTGTTTACTAACAGATAACTTCTCATAAGAACCAATACTATTTTGACTGACCATTGCGTCTTCTCATATAGCAACAGAAAGACAGAAACTTGTACAACAAGTGCCTGACAGTCCTGCCTGTTCCATCACAGCAGATTTGTGAAGTATAAAAGATTCTTTTCTGCTAGAGACAGATTGGTTTAACCCTCCCCTCCTTCACAATGCACAAGGGATTTATTTCTTTTATCTACTCAAAATGAATCCCATCTTGCACACACCTGAACTAATGTTGTTTAGTACTCGAATTCAGAATCAGATGTAGGGTAGGTTCAAAGCTAATCTAGTAATCACTGAACCATATCCACCCTGCAGCTAAAATTCACAGAACTAATCAAATGTATAAAAGACAACACAGAAACTAATCCAGTACCCTGCATTAGGTGAAAAACAGCATACAAAGACAACTGTACAAAGACAACTGTACAGCAGTATCTTTATAGCAAATCTCTTCTAGGAACAAGCAATAAAAGAGAAATCTGATTAAAATAAAAATTAGTCAAATAATGCAAATGTAAAATGATGCAATGTTTATAAGCCTGGAAGCTAAAGCTTTCTATCTGTAGAGCAAAAATGATACGGGCAGAATGTAGTTCCGGCTGCTCATGCTACACTGTTAATGTCCATCAGTCTGCACATGGAAGGTACCACAAAGAAAGGTCAAGAAAAGATGTAACTGATGTAACTTAAATTGCTAATTACTTGCTAATTTACTGATGCAAGAAAAATTAAGTTATGCAGTTGAGATTTGCACTGATATAACTAGTTCAATTATAAAGTAATTTCAGTGTTTCCAATATAGTGAACCAGATTTGAGAGACACAGATAGGAACCCTAGATACCCTTAATCAATCAGATCCTTCAGTTCTATGGGTTTAAGAACATTTAATAGGCAGTTTCAAAGTCAATTCAGAAGAAAATCTACCAAGAGTCAGATCCATCTTCTGATTGCTTCCACGTATTATTAGTAGAGCTGTATTGCCCTACTAGACTCCATGCCCAAGAAATTCACAGAAGCTGGATGTCTAGGGGACCTGTGAGAATTTAAATAGGCCCTTTCTGGCATCCTGACACCTACGTACTTTTAAAAATCTTCCCTATGACCTTCAAACCTTTACAGACCTGAATTTGAGTATAGACTTACCCGTGTGAGATCTGAGATGTACAGTTAGCTGGCTGGAGTTGCGGCTGGCATAAGGACAGATCTGGCATTTAAAAGGCCGCTCGTTGGAATGAATGCGCTGGTGCTTGTTGAGACTGCTGCTGTCAGCAGCTGCATAGTCACAGTGTTTACATTTGTAAGGCTTCACCCCCGTATGAGAACGCATATGCATCTTCAGCTTATCTTTACGACTAAAACATTTGTTACAAACTTCACATTTATGGGGCTTGTCTCCTGAAACAAACAGAAGAGCATCAACACATCAAGAATTTTTGCACCATAAAGATGTTGTTGCAATAAAAAAAGAAAAGCACGAACTAGACACTTAATAGAAATGGGGCTAGTTTTCAAAAGCTGGAAAGCGGATTTCAGCAGCCATCCTATCAGGTAAGAACTCTGCTATGCTCCGGAAGGCTACATGCACAAGTGCAACAAATTTAGAAGACCCTTTGGAACCTTCTCTTTACAACTCAAATTGCGGTTTAGGGGGAAGGCAGATGAAATGTTGGAATCATTGTTTGATATGAAGAACAAACTAGCTTTATTCACCACCACCACACTGCACCCTGATAAACACATGGCCTGCACCTCAGAAATTTAACTGTGCCTTAAATCGATATACAGTGTTCATGTTTCATAGCTGTGAAGTGGTACTGCCCATAGCAGGATATCCTTTATCCCAAAAGGCACAGAGAACTACAATACTTGAATGTACAGACGTACATGTACATTCTATCCAATTTAACTACAGATACTCTATTTGTAGGAAAATTCCTTTTGGCAAAAGTCAAAAGGAGAAACCAATCAAAAATAAAGTATAGCAACTGTATAAACCTGTGTGTGTTCGTAGATGACGTTCCATATCCTTCATACCATAGGAAGTCTTGAACTGGCAACCTGAAAATGGTAAGATTAAAGACCATTAAATTCAAGGAAAATCTAACAAAATAGTAAGAATACACTACCATACTATGCACATCATGTTTTCTTTCAAGAACATTTTCTTTAAAATTCAGTATTAACAAAAACCTAACTCCCCTATCTTGTTTACTCACATCTACTTAAAATAGTGACTGGCTTAAGTAGGAACTTTAGTTTTCTAATGCTTCTCCTAGGAGGCAATTCACTCTCTACATTTCTGTTTTCTGTGAGCTTTGAAACAAGTTCTCCAGAATCCCTGCCTAGGATTTGAGATGCTCTTTACACGGGGGATGCTGGGGCAACTAATTAATTCCATGTATGACTTCAAGTTAGTGCAACTGGGAACTCACGTAACAGCTCACCATTTAGCAATTCTGTCCAAGTGGAAAATGTTACAGTTTTAGAGCACAGAAATGAATGCTAAGCATTTGAAATGTGTCTTTCAAATGAAGGCAAGTTTGCAAAAAGAGGCGGTAACTTCTATCATCATTAACACCACTACTCATCTACAGAGTTGACTCTATACGTTTTCTGCATATTGTATGGTTTTTACTCACTAAGGCCTACAAATACTTTGGTTCAATCCATCCTTATAAAAACGCTAACTGACCAGAGACAAAACAGATAAATATTATACATACATTTTGCATTATCATGTACAATGGCAGTTGGCAAAAAGGTAACAAGACTCCGCTCTTACAGTGCTATGGGTGTGGGCACAGGCCAATGTCTATGCACGAACTCACTGCAGCATTGCCAGAGTATACCCCAGTATAACACCAAAGTCTAAGGACATGTGAAATCAATAGCAAACCTACTACTGGTTATCACTGGTAGTACATCACACCCTTAGTAAGTTGCCTTGCAGGTTCTGCACATCTTAACTGCTTATGACAGACAGAGCTACCGTGCATATCGCTATATGGAACTTACCAATTTTTAAATGAAAAGGAAGTAGGTATAGTCCACATCTTACCTGGATAGCAGCAGTTTAATTTCTTCTGTGCCAGCGAGGAAGTGGATTTTCTTGAACGTGCTTTTGGTGGTGTAGAGACGATAGCAGCAGTTGGAGGCTCACTACTCTCACTGGGCAGGTAGGTTTGATAGCCATGCTCAAAAACAAACTCTGGTGCAGAAACTAAACACGTAAAAGAGCTCAATTTGAGAACATCAACTTCTCCAATCAGAAAAATCTAGTATTTTCTAGTTTCATTAATTACTTCTCTGTTACTTTTTTTTTCCAGCAACATTCCTGTTCACCTAGGGGAAGGGGAAAGGGGGGAAAGTCTTTTCTCTCCCTTGCTATCAGTGAAAATTCTGTCAAGACTTGATGAGCCACACTGAACTTGGTACAACTCTGCACAGGCCCACTTGTCTCCCCTCTGAATCTTATCTGACTGAACTGTTCAGTTTCTTAAGTTCAGTTTCTTCTGATGCCTGTCCATGTCTCACATTAATAAAGGTTTGTTTTTCAACACTGGCTGTGCTACAGCCCAAAGGAGAAAAAAACCTGAATGATTTATATGGCAAATGCTGTCAAAAAGGCATCAAGTAAAAGAATTTTTCTTAAAAATTGTTTAAAAAGTTCAGCCTTTTTCAACTATACTGTTTTTAGCTAATACTCACAACAGGTGAAACTATCTCAGCCAAAGGAGCAGCTTTTAAATCAACTAAACAACGCTGTACCCCAAAAGGGCAGAAGGATATAACTGCCCTCAGTTTAAAGATGAGCAAATATGAAGCAGAAAAATGACTCATCCAAAATCTATACCGAGTTGAGGGATTATAATACTAAAAATTCCTGGAAGTAAACCCTGAATTCAGCTTGTTTCACTGCTCTTCCAGATTCTCTGCCCTAATCTGTCTATCCAGATTACAGTCAAATAACTTGGATTTTATTAAGGTCCCAGACCAAAATGTAGTACCGTAAAACTATATACAGAAGGGCAAACCTTCACACACAGAAAAAAATTCTTGGTTTATTTCCACGTCTGCAGGATCAAGGCCTCACTTGAGCCTTTGCATAGGCAGAAATTTTGAGTAATATTTTTCCTGCCAATTAGCTGTGGCAGCAATGTTAGGGAATATGATGTTCTCACATAAAAAGGCCTGGATTGGCGCCCGACAGCAATTCTGTGTCTTTTTCATCAGGAGCACTCTTAAAAAACAAAACGTATAGTAATTCGATTATTTTTCACAAGTATTGACTATTTCAATTAGTTTGCACAAGTTAGTTGGTTATACAACATATTAGACTTAAGCAGTTCTCTAAGCGAACTCGTATCTCAATTAGCAAATTAACTGTTGTCATACCAAACCCAGGAAGGCAGTACACCACTTATCTTCCTTGGCTTGCAGGCACATGACGACTAATGTGAAAACTGTTATTTTAGCTTAGTGTGAGGGGGATACAGGAGCAGAGGGCTACGAACATTGCCACTTTGCACAAGTTGAGCGGTTTCAAGCTCCTAGTAGGCAACACCAAAGTACCTGTGATGGTTTGGGTCTCCGAAGCGATGGTCCTGGTTGTGGTTTGCGTCTGTGTCGATGGCACCGTTTCTTCGGACACAAACTGGACCGTACTGGTGGCGCCGGCCGTTGCACCAGTGAGCTGGCAACCGCTCTGCTTGTGCCCCACGAAGGCATCGAGGTTATTGAACTGCTGCTTGCAGATGCCGCAGATGTGGATGTCGGGGGTGAGCTCCACCAGCACGGTGGTGCCACCGGGAACTGTGGGAACAGGAGCAGGGTCAAGAGCTCGTCCTGAGAAAAGGCGAATGGGTGAAACCGCTCAAACCGACAGACATCCCGG